CCAACCTCATAGGGTTGTTGTGAGCTTTAAACGAGAGGACAATATAATTTCTCATCCAAATTAGGACCATTTTGAGGGTGAAAGGGGCACTGTTATGATCATGCACAGACAATAGGTATAAACCAGGACTGTCTCAGGCAAACTAGGACACAGGGTGACATGAGGGTTCAATGAAGCAGCGCCTAGCAGGCATTCTACATATACAGCTCCTACTGTATTGTTCAACCAGGTAGAATGCAGAAGGCCGATACATAAAACAAGTCACAGTGGGGCTGCTCAGCAATCTCCTTCCCATCGTTCTGAACCTCAGAGGTCCCGTAGCCCCTAGAACTCTGCAGAGTAGTTTAAAAACCATAGAGGTCCCTTTCAGCTCTACTGGACCATGGGTTATGATTCCCTGACCCCTATTCCCAGCGTCACCAGGTGACAGCACAGATCTCAGCCGCCACCCCCCATGTGGAGCTATCTTATCCTGATCCTGAAATTTCTGTCACCCTTTGAACAGGGATGCAGAGTAGCCCCCATGGGCTGTATGGGTTGTAGGTTTCTCTTTCCTCATACCCCGTTTGCATTTGTGTTTATATGCTCAGGGTTGGAATGGACCCCCTGCGTCTCCCTGAGAAGGGAGAGTTTCTACCACGTGATCGATGGAGAAACTGAGTCAGTGTGTTTAGTGATCTGCCCTGAGATAGCACAGCAGTTAGGGGTGGGGGCTCCTTCCAGAACTGTCCCCACCATTCCTTGCCCCAGAGAAAGGGAAGGAGCCCTAGGTGGCAACAATACAGAGAGAATTTGGTGGGTCCTTTTCTTAGCCTAGGTCATAAGTGCACTAGGAAGGGTCCACAGTGGGAGATGGGATACATGGCAAAGTATGTGTGGGTGCCCTCTCTCCCACCTCCCGTGGTGGGGCGGGGTGGGGGGGGAGGGGGAGGAACTGGTGACCTAGAGGATTAAGGGGCCAGAGGGCTGGGTGCTGGTAGGATTAAAGTCTCCTGGGAGCCTCTCCCCACAGAGCCTCTTGGCAGCTCTTTTCAAGGCCGAGGCAGGTGGGCGGAGCTGTGGGAGGGGCAGCCCTCACTTTGTGCCTTTCTCCTCCCCATGATGCCGCCAGCCTCCTCCACTCAGTCTGATTGTGGACTTGGCCTCCCCCTCCCTGCACAGTGCTGGGCCCTATTCAGGAGGCAGCTGCAAGGATGCTCCAGACTTCTGGCTCCCCGCTGGGCCCCTGCCTGCCCATTCACAGCCTTATTTTTCTGGCTGCCCTGCCACCCCCATACCAGCCCCAGTCAGGCTGCCTCCAACCCACCCAGCCCAGACCTCATCCTGAGGGTGCCCCACTGCCAAAAATGGGTGAATCTAGGGCATAAGGTTCCAAGATAGGGAGATTTGAAGCCTTCAGTGCATTAATAACAAGAAAATTGCATTGGTAGGGTTTGTTTCCCCAAAAGCTCTAAGCCACGTTACAGGTATGACCTCATCCCCCATAGCTGCCATGAAGGGTCAGCCAAGCCCCCTTGGCAGGGCTGCTCCCTGCTTTGCTGTGAATAAGGTAATTGGAGTTAGACACTCAGTCTGGGTGACCCTGGGTCCTGGAGAGCACTGTATCGCGTTTGCTACAACTCACCACAACTCGAGGGTACGCTACCCTGCTTGATAGATGAGGTGATTATGGCTCCAGATGGTCACCCTAAATTACACAAACTGGTTAGTGGTTGAGACAAGATTGGGATTTTGCTCCTTGCAGCCTCCTTCGGAAGCTTTCAGCTGCCTTCTGGGGCGTTAGGACCTACCTCTCTCCCTGCTCTGCACACATCCTCTCTCCAGCTCTCCCTGTGTTTCTTTCTCTTTTTGTCTCCCTCTCTGCCTCCTGCCTGCCCGGTGCCTCATGCCCCGTCAGCTTCTGCTCTTGCTGTCATCTTCCCAGATGTTGGGGTTGGTGGTTGGAAGGTGTCCTGTATATGTTTGTGGAGCTCAAGCAGCGGGCCCCATCCCTGCCTCTCCCTCCCCACTAGTTACCCTCCTTCATCCCTGAGGCTTCATTATTAGGGTAGCGATGACCCCCATTGTCTGGCCTGTCTGGCCCTGGCAAGAAAGGTAGAGTTTTGGCAGAGAAGTGAGGCTCGGCCTGATTCCAGCTCATTCTCTGCAGTCTGGAGCCTATAATGTGCTTGGGGCAGGACTGGCAGACGTGGTAGGAGGTGGGGGCTCGGGGCAGCCCCTGTCACTAGGACAACAGCAGGGAGCCCTAGAGGGGGAGGGGGAACAGGGAGCAGGTGGTTCTTTGTGTAGAGCTGGAATGAGGGAGAGGGGTCCCTGCCTGATCCCAGCCCCTCCACCCCACTGCCCCTTCAAGCCTCCTAGGCCTCCCCTGGGAGGGGATTGGTACCTCTGTTCCCAGCAAATGCAAGGCCATTCAGCTTCCTCTCCCTGGGCTGAGTCAGGAGAGACTCCATGCTATGAAGCAGACCACTGTCCCCCTGCAACGCTCATGAGGATGGGGACAGAGGGTGGACTTTCCCCGGACTCAGGGCTGCTTTTCAACCCCTGCCCCTAGCCCCCATCAGCCCACTCAGCATGAGGGCTGTGTGGGACCAGGCCCAGCCAGTGAGACCCAATGGCCTGTGCCAGCCTGTGGGGAGGGGAGGGGTCTTAGGCACCAGAGAAGGAGGCCCTCCCTGCCTGACTTTGCCACTTTCCCTCTCTAGGCTTCACTTTCCTGTCTGAGCAATAAGGAGCTCAGAACCGTTATGGTTTGCGGTTCCTTCCTGCTTTTAAAAAATCTCTAGTCTACGGCCATGCCACCCTAAATGTGCCCAATCACGTCTGATCTCGGAAGCGAAGCAGGGTCGGGCCGGGTTAGTACTTGGATGGGAGACCACCTAGGAAGACCAGGTGCTATAGGGATAAAAATATCCCTATAAGGGATTGTAAAATAGGGGATTGTAAGCTGACAAGTTCCTTGCCATCTGTGAGGTCAACCAAGGGTTGCCTCGCCTAAAAAAAAAAAAACCAGTGTGGGCCTGTGAGACTCCTAGAGCCCCGTCCTCTCTTGGGTCAGCACTCACCTCTTTGTTCTTTAAGTTTTGCTTCTGGCAGCAGAACAGCCTGAAGGCTGAAGGTAAGTGGCAACCAGTGGTGGAATAGAGGCAGCGCTAAGCTGCCTGGGCGTGGAACCCTGGCTCTGCCGCTTGCTGGCACGTCACGTGACCTGTGTTCATTTCCCCATGTCTCTATTTCCTCATCTGTAATATGGGGATAATAATAGGACCTACTTTATAAAGTTGTTCTCGGAGGTCAAAGAAATTATATGCATGAAGTGTTTAGAACAGTATTTGGCCCAATGAAGACACTCAGCAAATATTAGGTATTTTTATTCTTGAAAATCCTTATGGAGCAGAGATAGATGAGTTTTCTGAAATGCTCTATTGCGTGAACTAGATAAGTGTCATCCCTGAAACCTGGTGTTTGGGGTTGAGGGTGGGGACCCATGCCAGTTTTTTAAGTGGGTTTCCTTAGAAACGTCCTCTCGCGTTGAGTTCTGGGGAGAGTTGAAATAGCCCATGACTTGTGAGTCTTAGCTATTTCTCTTGGATTGTCTTACAAGTGCTGTACATTACGTGACATGCCAGGATCAGCCTTCCTAAAATAGTCCTCATTGACCTTATCTAGAAAAGGGGGAAACGTGGGTTTGGTCTTTTGGGCTCCCTTGTCAAGCACACATGGGCATCATGGTGTCTGTTTGCCTTTTAAAATCTCAGCAACCCACTGCAGCATCTCCAGGATGCAGTGAACTCGTGTGGGGAAGCATTTGTGAACAGGAAAGCTCTTGGCATCACTAAGAGATGGTTAGTGGCGTTTTGTAGCCAGGTGTGTGCTGTGGGGGGATATTGGGTAGATTCTTCAAGGAAAGAAGGGCTATAGAAGAGATCCAGAAAGGTTATGTGTGTCTCTGGGAGAGATGAATAAGATCTTTTTCTAAATGAACCTATGAGACTTTCCTTGGAAAATAGCACTTGTCTATTCATCCAAACATCCACTACTTATTCACCCAACAAATCTTTATTGAGTGTCGATTATGTCAGGCTCTGTGCTAAGCATTGAGGATACGTTGTGACATTGCCTTCGAGGAGCCAGCAGTCCAGTGAGGAGGCAAAAGTAGACAATTAGAGAGCCGTGCGGGGTGGCAGTTGGCGGTCTGTCCAAGGTGCGGACCGTGTTGGAGGAGAGACCACCCAGAGCCAGGACATCCAAGGAGCTGGGAAGGGTGAGTTGGAGTCTCCCAGGGAGACCAAGGGAGATAGGAGTCCTAGGCAGAGGGACCCAAGTGTGCAAAGCTGCAGAGGACAAATGGGCCGTGTCGCCCAACAAAACACAGAGCACAGTGCCTTTGGGGAGCCCTACGCTGCCCTGTGTGCCAATGTGCGTGGATGTGGGCGTGGAGCCAGATGTGGAAGGGGATAATAATAGGACCTACTTTATAAAGCAAAATTTGAAGATCAAAGAGATGAGTGCTGACCCAGGCAGTCAGATGTGGAAGGACTTGCAAGGCTGTGCTCCCTGCGCCCTGGGCCTTGAGCATTCCCCGCTGAGGTCCCTCTGGCCCAGGCCCCCGATGTTCCTCATCTGCCTCCACT